CTCAGTGGTAGAGCCCCTGCCTAGAATCCCCCAGTGAGGGGCTGGGGTGTGGCTCAGCGGTAGAGCCCCTGCCTAGAATCTCCCAGTGAGGGGCTCAGAGCATGGCTCAGTGGTAGAGTTAGTGCCTAGCACGAATGAGGCCCTAAGTTCTAGAAAGAAAATCTATCTGCATTTATGTCACTGTCCCCTAAATAACACAGCAGAACTATTTGTATAACTTCACAGTCTTATCATAAGAATTCATGTAGAGTTGTGTGTGTGTGTGTGTGTGTGTGTGTGTGTGTATGTGTGTGTGTGTGTGTGTGTGTACACATATGCATGTGCTTGTAGAGAAGTGCCAGAGGACAAACTTATTCCTCAGGAACTGTCCCCCTGTCCTTTGGAGCAGGGTAGGCTAGGCTGGCTGGCCAGTGAGCCTCAGGGGCCTGCCTGTCCCACTTCTTCAGTGCTGGGGTTACAAGTAAATACACTATGTCTGACTTTAAAAAATAGAAAAAACACATTTACTTTGGGCCCTGGATGCCATAGCATGGGTGGGGGGCAGAGGACACTTCTTTCAGGAGTCCATTCTCTCCTTCCCACTGTGTGGGTTTCTAGGATCAAAGTCAGGTCACTGGGCTTTGTGGGAGGTGCGTTTCCCTGCTGAGCCACCTCTGGCCCACACCTGGCTCTTTCTGCAGCGGTTGTAGGAATCAAACTGGCATCCTCATGCACAAGGCAAACACTGACTGACTGAGCTATCGGCCAGTTCAGAGTCCTTGCTTGGAGGTTCTAGCAGGGAAGACCAGCTACTATACACCCTTGGAAACACAAAACAAACACCAAAGCAGTCCTCCTCAACCAAATGGGCAGCCAACATATGGAGTGGTGAGGGGGAAGGAGAAACCTGCCTATCCAGACACATTATTCCAATCAACCATGGGGATCACGGTGGAGACCGATGTCACAGCCAGATGGCCTTCACATTCTTTCTTATTTCTTGAAATGGAGTCTCATATAGACCAGGCTGGTCCCAATTCCCTATGTAGGCAAAGAGGACTTTGAACTTCTGAGTTTTCTATCTTCCTGGTGCTAGGAAGACAGATGTGCACCACCAGTCCTGGTTTAAGTGGTGCTGGGGATGTAACCCAGGGCTCTGTGTGTGCCAAGTCCTTTCCCCAGTGTGATACACTTCCAAGCCTACTACATCATTTTATGTAAGGGCTTGAACATCTGTTATTTGGGTATCTTCTGGGTGTCCTGGAACCAAGAACATAATTCCCGTGGATGCCCAAGAACCGTAGATGCAATTAGCCTTCTCTAGAAGACAGTGACAGTGAAGTTTGAACCTTGGTACCATGTATCCCTGCTGCTCAAGACATTGTTCTTGGCCTTTTGCTCTGTTTAGTTAAGATAAGGTCTTAAGTAGCTCAGGCCAGTCTCAAAGTCACTATGTAGCTGAGGAGAGCCTTCAACTTCTGATCTTCCTGCTCCCACCTCCCAGGCAGTAGGACTCGAGGTGTGGACCACACACCACACTCAGCTCGTTCTTGGTGTCTTAAATACACTGCTGAGGAGGCCTTCTAGACCATCTGCAGATGAGAAGTGGAGCAACAGGGGTCTTCCTGTTCTGGACCTCTACCTTGGTGTTTCAGCTGTGGGTATTCCCTGACACTTCCCAATGAGGGCTGGGATTGTGGCTCAACTGGTAGAGAGCTTGTCTATGAGGCACAAGCCTGGGTTCCACCCCAAGCACCACATCACCCAGGCATGGTGGAGCAGCCTGCCATCCAGCACTCAGGAAGTCAAAGCAGGAAGACCAGGAATTCAAGGTCACCTTCAGCTATGCAGTGTGTTTGAGACCAGCCTGAGTTGTATGAGTCCTCGTCTTTGAAAAATGAAAAAAAAAAAAAAATTAAACTCAATCTACAGCCTGCCAGCCTTCACACTCCAGGGCCAGCCATATAAACAGAAGCATCCAAGTCTGAGAACGGCAGAGGGCGCCCATCCCCAATCTCACTCTCCAAACCAACTCACCGGGATGAGGTCACCCTTAACATCCTTGCAGCCACATTGGTCTCTGTGCACACAGGTGTCCTTGTTGAGCAGGTAGCCAGGTCGACAGACGCAGCCCTCCTTGCACGTGGGGGCGACTTTGGTGCTGATGCCCTCACAGTGCCCATTTGGGTTGGAGCAGGAAGGCAGACAGGGGGGCAGGCAGGTGGTGTAGAGGCTGTTGTCTGGGCACTGCAGAGCTGGGGGGAGGAGGAGAACAGTGCTCGAGCCGTGCCTCGGATCCCTCCAGCCACGAGCTGCTTCTGTCCTTCCCGTCCCACGGGCTCCCTTACTGTTGGAGACACAGTTACTGCTGCCGTCTTCATATTTTTCGCACTGGGTCCCTGAGGGGCACTGGAATTTTTGGCACTGAAAGAGTCCTCCCTTGCATGCACAAATCTGGGTACAGTGAGTGGAGATCCATGTCTGGCCGGTCTACAGAAGCCACAGGAAGGGAAAGAAAGAGAGAACATAAGCTTGTTCTAGAAGACAAGCTTAGCTTTCTGTCCGAGAGTCTGACATTTGCCCTCTGTATCTGCAGGTTCCATGTCTACTGAGTGAACCAACTACAGATGACAAAACGTTCTTTATATTGCTGGGACTGTGGGCATAATCGAGTCTGACTAGAATGCTCAGTGAGGGGGTGGGAGCATGGCTCAGCAGTAGAGCAATTGCCTAGGATTCCTCAGTGAGGAGCCGGTGGTGTGACCCAGTAGTAGCTAGAGTACTGGCCCAGAACCCCAGTGAGGTGTTGGCGGGTGTTGCCCAGTGGTAGGTACAGTACTTATTTAGAATCCCCCAATGAGTGTTAAAGGTGTGGTTCAACAGAGAACTAGAATCCTCCACTGAACACTAGGGCATGTGGCTCAGTGGCAGAGCATTTCCCTGGCACATGCCAAGACCCCACCAACCTTCAAACCCCTGGACTAACCATGAATAAGAGCATCCAGAGAGACAGAGAAAAGCAGAAAGTAGTCCTAATCCTAAATTTAAAAAATCTAGGTGTGAGTGTGTATATGAAAGTGTGGGCATACATCCATGTTGAGGGTCGACATTAGGTTTGGTCCTGGCCTTCCATTTTGCATTAAACAAGATTCATTCCATCTCTGTCTGTCTTAGTGGTTAGTCACTGCTTGTGTACACTACCATAGTCGGCACCCACATTTCTTGGGATTTCCCTGGCTTCACCTCCTTCCTATGTCATAGTAGAAAACTGGGGTCACAGGTCACAGTCAGCTTCCATGCTCAGCATCCATGGGTAGTAGGAATTCAACCCAGGTTCTCACATTCATGGAGCAGCTCACTCCATGTCCCAGCCACCTCCCAGTCCCTACTGCCATCTCCATGCCTGCTCACCTGGATGAGGCTACCGTGGGAGACTTTGCAGGCACAGTGAATTCTAAGCACACACTTGTCTTCATGCAGCACATAGCCAGATCGGCAGACACAGCCCTCCCTGCAGGAGGAGGGGACCTTGGTGCTGGAGCCATCGCAGAGGCCCTCTGGGTCCGAGCAGGAAGGCAGACAGGACGGAAGGCAGGCGGTGTAGAGGCTGTGGGCCGGGCAGTGCAGAGCTGTGTGGTGGAAAAAGAGTGGCATTAATGTAGAGAACCAGAGGGGCCCAAGGAAGCAGAGGCCACGTTCAACAGGGTGGGCAGCACAACTAAGAAACTCTGGGCCTTCCTCTGCCCTTTGTTATTCATCCAGCAGATACTGACTGGGTGTGGACTGTGTGTCCTCCCTGCCGCCACCCCCCACCCAGAACTAATTTCCTTCTTGCTTTTTCTCTGATTCTTCCATGCATGAGCACATACCCCCGTCCTTCCTCCACGGCTTCCTTACCGTCGCTGGCACAGTGACTGCTGCCGTCTACACTGTGCTGGCAATGGGTCCCTACTGGGCATTTGAAGTCCTGGCACTGAACAGCCCCTCCCCTGCAGGTACAGCTCTGGGTACACCCACTGGAGATCCACGTCTTGCTTTCCTGTAGAAGCCACAAGAGGAGGTCGGAAGTGAGGATGGCAGCGACAGGCTTACTGGCTGTCTGAGGGACTCCATCTGCTCTCCCTTGTATGCAGGCTCCATATCTACTGAGCCAATCTACTGGAAAACACTTTGAGAAGAACTGCAACTCTGGCTGCGGATCTATCCTAGCTTGACTACAATCCCCAATGAGCAGCAGAGGATATGGCCTAGTGACAGAGCAATTGTCTAGAATCCCCAAGCAAGGGAATAGGGGTGTGGCTCAGCTGGAGAGCACTGGTCTAGCACGTGCCAACTTTCAACTCCAGGGCAAGCCATATATACAGGAGCATCACACAGCAAGACAGAGAAAAGGAGAAAATGGCTCCCAACTCCACTTTTTAAAAAATGCACGTGCACACGTGCGCACGCGCGCCCACATTTGTGTTTAAGTATGTGTGAGGTGGGCATATACTCCTGAAGGTCAGAGTGCATCATCAGGTGTTGGTTCCACCTTGCACTGAGACGGACTCTCTCTCCCCCACCTTGGTTTTGATGATGTTCACCACTATGAATACCATAACGTCTAGCCTGCAAGTCTCTGAGGATTGTCTGTCCTGTTTGCCCCTCCCATATTTCAGCAGGAGCTCTGGGATTACAGACAGACTACTGTGGCCAGTTTAACTGGATTAAGGGACTTGAACTGAAGTCTTCACCCACTGAAGCATCTCCGTAGCCCTCACTAATCCCATTTTCCATGCCCACTCACTGGAATGAGAGTGCCCTGGGAATCTTTGCAGCCACACTCAATTCTGGGGATGCACTTGTCGTTATTCAGCACATAGCCCGGTTGACAGAGGCAGCCTGTCTTGCAGACAGCAGGGACTTTGGGGCTGGTGCCCTCACAGTGGGCATCAGGATCCAGGCAGGAAGGCAGACAGGAGGGCAGGCAGTCGGTCAGGTGGCTGTAGGCTGGGCATGGAGGGGCTATAGAATGGAAGTGGAGTGGTGTTAGTGGAGAAGGCCTGAGATGATGATGGAAGCAGAGCCTTCAGAAACCAGACAAACAGAGCTTGTTTGTGGATTTTTTCCTCCTTTTATTATTTGTTCAGCAAACTGGTAGTGAGCACGGACTGTGCGCTAATTCCTGAGAGAAGAAGAGTGGGCCTCCCAAGTCGATGTGGGAAACCAACACTGAGCAGAGGCCCCGCTGTGGGTCCCCAGAACCCTCCCCTTGTGGTCCTCCTACCTCTGATCTCTAAGGCCCAGGAGACTGGGTTCCTCCAGTCAGGAGCGCACCCTCACCACCTCCCCTAGTGGCTCCCTTACTGTTGGAGGCACAGTTACTGCTGCCATCATCACTGTGCTGGCAGTGGGTGTCCGAGGGGCAGGTGAAGGTGTGGCACTCGATGGCCCCATTGACGCAGGTACAGCTCTGGGTACAGCCACTGGAGATCCATGTCTTGCCTGCCTGCAGAAGCCAGAGAAGAGAAAGGGAGTGAGGAGAGAATGACTAAGGAGCCAAGCTCAGTCTCCAGGTTCCACATCTGTTGAGTCAGCCAACTACAGTGAGGACAGCTGCATCTGGACTTAGGGGATAGTTCAGGTACATGCCTGTGCAGGATCTACCAGGAAGAGTGGAGAGGGGGGGGCTCTGCCTTAGGTATTTGACTACAATCCCCAGTGAGAGGCTTGGGATGGGATTCTACATAGAAAGTCTGCCTACAATCCTGAGTTACAGATGAGGGAACCTGGATCAGAGGCAGCACACTTGCCTAGAATCCCCCAGTGAGGGGCTGGGGTGTGGCTCAGTGGTAGAGCACCTGCCTAGAATCCCCCAGTGAGGGG